AATACTATAGTACGTCGTCCGTCTATTATATATATATATATAAATAGTATATATATATATATATATATATATATATATATATATATATATATATATATCACGCACCAATACTGTCAACATAAACTGGTGTCGATAGAAGTATTGAACTCAAATGTCACTCAAAAAGTGGACAAATACCCCGCCATAATGTATTTTGGGAGCGAGTGCCAATCCTATCGAGACGATCTGGGACCCATGAATTGCCAGTGCGCTGCTGATAAGAGTTGACATAGGAACTACAACCCCCACAGCGTTCGAACGTCGAGGATGTTCGCCTTACCTCAACCTGCTCTCTTGTTTTTAGTGGCATCTTTTTCTGGATTTATTTTATTTTTTTGGAACCGCAGGAAAGTGCCCGGAATCAGACATGATTCGATGATGCAAAAGGAAGAGCAAGAAATCAATTTGGGTCTAGAATATGGATGATATCAGTCTCAATTTGCCAGATCTAGAACAATCAAGATGTTGTGATATTGATATAAGGAATAAATATAAATGGTAAGCAACTCGATACATGAGTCAGACTGAACCACCATCTATAAAACTGTACGGGTGACACAACAGCTGTGCAACAAACCAGATTCGGACCAAAGTCAGAGATGTGTATTTGTGTTGTGCGGCTTTGTATACTGGTATAAATACGAGTATATGTGTGTGTATTTTGATGTATCTCGGGGAGCGGATACCGTGCTAGCTAAGTCAGTCCGATACGCACTTGGCATAGCGACTTCAGCATAACAAACTGACAAAAATTAGGACTTCGACCTGGAACATCGCTGTATAATTAACTTAGTGGTACAACCGTCTCAAGATACGACAGAAAATTTATTCACACTTGTGAAGACATGCGTTTACACAAATATGTATTCACTCAAGAAATATTGGATACAGAACAGCTGTTCCGAACTCGTAGAACCTGTGCAACCGTACTTCAACCAGAAAAACGTGCAGCAGCAAGCATGGGGGTACAAAGATTTCATACAGACTTACCATACAAACAGAAATCGAACGGACATATCATACCAACAGATAACAACAGAAAACATACAGCATCAATATATGAGGGAGAAAGGTTTCAAACGGACATATCATGCAAACAGAAAACATACAGCATCAACATATGAGAATGAAAAGATAGAAATGTCATACAAAAATACCATACAAACAGAAAACATATAGCATCAACAAATGAAAATAAAAAGATTTCAAACGGACATATCATACCAACATAAAACATATAGCAGCAACGTATGAGGATGAAAATATTTCATACAAACATATCATACAAACTGAAATCATGTAACAGCAGCCTACGAGGATAAAAAGATATCATACAGACTTCCCATACAGATGAAAACGTAAGTATGAAAAGATTTCATACGGACATACCAGAAAAACAAAAATATATAGCAGCAACGAATGAGGATGAAAAGCGTTCAAATAGACATACCATGTAAACAGAAAACATACTATGAGCATGAAAAACATTCTATAGACATACCATACAAACAGAAAATATATAGCAGCAACCTATGAGCATAAAAAGGCATACCATAGCGTACTTCTGACCTTCCGCATCCCGGGCTTCATACACGTACGAGAATCCTATCAGAAATGATTGGTGTAAAAAAGTACAATGTACGATAATTTAAAACAAATCCAAATAAACTTGAATGAAATCGTACTGGGCATAAACATTGTTGCCTAGCCTCTAGTAGCGACCGTTGATATAAGCTTTCTGCTTTCCAATTGGGTTTACTAAAATCAATATCCAATTTACTAAACATCTATAAATGTGTGTGTCTAAATATATATATATATATATATATATATATATATATATATATATATATGTGTGTGTGTATATATATATATATATATATATATATATATATATATATTATATATAGTGTGTGTGTGTGTGTGTAGTGT